GTAAGCAGACACAAAGCATTGTGGGAAAAGGGAACCCTGACCCAAAGCAACAGTCAGCAGGATGTATACCTTCACAATAAGTGTGTTTATCTGGGAGGGGTGCTGTTGGATAGATCACATGTGTTGTGTGATTCATTGACAGCCATACCCTCAGCTGTTCAAGATAATGATGACTGGTAGATAATTAGTTATTAGTGGTACTGCATTTTAATTTTAGAAAGCACAAATCTGCTTATGAACTATAAAAATTAGTAAGACCGCTAAAGCGCAAACGAAATATTTAGGTTCGCAATTAACGGATTTGCGCTCTAGCGGGCTGGTGCCCACCACTGCAAATGAGACCAGTTTGAATGTGTTTTGTGTCTTTACACATGGAGTACCTGAAATTGTCCTTATGTTATTATTATTATTACATATTTCTGTGGCATCAGATGTATTTGTAGGGTTGAGAGGGACACATTGGCTGGGGGGTCTGGGGGTCGTCCTTCAAAAAACTCTTAATGAAGCAGATGTCATTTCCTTCTCTCTGGTGTATTTTAACAGGTTGTCAAACAGATTTTCACCTACATATGTAAACACTTGGTTGTGAGTATTCTGTACATCAAGTGGAATGAATTTGTTTGTTGGGGGGGGTCATCCCCCTGGTTGTACCTCTGTCCGACTCTAGTTAGCCAGCTAGTTAGTATATTGTTACAAAGATCAGCCAATTGTTGTTGTTTTTGCACAATAAACTAAAGAACTGTACAGTAGATATTTACTATATAAGACTGGTGTTGAAAGCAGAGGACCTCCTCTAACATCTCGTCTCATCCTGAGTGTTCTGTCCTCAGCTGCACAGTGTTCTGTGGGTGGGCCCAACCAGTGGTCTTTACACGCTCACCACCTCCAGCCTGAGTAAGTGGGAGGTGGATGACGGCTCGGAGCAGCACATCTTCAGCTGGGACACCCGCAAAGCCTTGACTGAAAGCATTGTTGATTCCATTTGGGTCAGTACAAACGCATCTGTGACACATTTTCACACCAAATCAGCCATCTTTATCTTATTTTACTGCTTTGGAATGAAAAAGCCCAGCAGTGGATGGGAGCAGCTGAAAACTTGTTTCTCTTGAAGAAGTGCTGCTGGAGTAAAGGACGTCCATCTTTAGTGAAATCAAACAGGTTTATGTGTGTCTCAACACTGTCAGTTCTAGTATTGATGAAACATGTTTTATGTTACAGTTAGTGCTAAACTATAATACTCACATTTAGGTTCAGATTAGATCAAAATTTTTTTTCCTGTTTTAAAGCCTCCATAAAGTTGAATAAAATTAATATGAAATACCTTTTTGCAGAAGAAGATGGCTGTTTTTAACAAATTAGTCAACATTTTTCAGAAAATGTGACTGAAATGTTTTTCACCAGGGATCAGAGAGCAACTACGAGGAGCTGAAGGAGAGCGCAAACGTTGCCTACCTGGACCTGAAGTTAAACCAGTGAGTACACGTGTTCCCAACAAACCTGCCAGCTCAGAGAGCTTCCTTCAAACCGGCCCAGTCCGTACGACGGGCTGTAGAAATCACTGTTMGATCTTTTAAATAAAAATTAGAGATTTGTATAAATACTGGAGAAATGTCTTTACTGTGAAAATACAGTGTGAACACTAAATATTTAAATAACTAGAAGCACTCGAAGACTGCAAACCTCTGCCAAGGCAATAGGGTCAATTATGCTAAAAGGTTCCCCTTGAAAAAGTCACGTTTCCAATGCTTTATAGTAAATATAGTAACACCATGTTGCATGTATTTAAATTCAAATTTAAACTTCTTTTCACTTCCCAAATATCACTGTGTTTGTCCCCGATATGATATATTTAACTGATATTTTTAATCCAAACAATTAATGATTTATAAAGGTAAATCAGGAAAATATTTATATATAGTAGGGGTGTAAGAAAATATCGATACACTGAAATTTGCGATATTTCATTTCCCGATACTGTACGCGCATGCTAAGTCAATCCTCATCTCTACAAAAGAAATTTAATATTCATCTTACAATATTGAACTTATTAAAGCATTATCTATTAACATTTAAGGTTATTTCCTGGTCATCTTACCAATTTAAGGGGCACACAATACTACAGTGCCACCTGCTGGACACTTTGAAACCCACTCCCTGTGAAAGCATCACAGCTTTGCCGATCTCAGAGTGTTAAAAGAAAAATAGTTCCTGTATCAGCATCATGATCCAGCACAGCACCAAAATTTAAGGGGGTGTTACTTGAGCCAGTACCCACATGTGGTAAAAATGTCATGACAGACAGGTTCCCTCAAACCTGCCCAGTCCGTACGACAGTCCACAAGTTTTTGAGTAATGTTGTCCACAGACAGACAGAGACAGACAGAGAGACAGACAGACAGAAAACAGTCCTTTGCCATTGGCGGAGGTAAAAATGTAAATATTGTGAACAGAGTCAGTATTCACACAATTAATGTTGCTTTTGATACTGCAGCTCATAAAACAGATTTCAAAAAGCCGTGCTTCTGCATTATCAGAAACTTTTTTTGTTCTAGCGTCCTCTCCCAGGGTTCCTGCAAATCCTTTAAAAGTCTTAAAAAGTAATTGAATTCATCAATCCAAAAGTAAGGCCTTATTTAGCCTTAAAATGTCTTAAATCAGAAGTCTTAAAAATGTGAACACATTATAAGTAGGATGACTATTCATCTGAAATATTAAAATAATTGGTAAAAATATTTTTTTTAAATCTTCACATGCCGTTCTCCTTTGACATCACTTCCTGTT